GAGTATTACTGTAGCTGGCGGGGCTCCGGACGGTACATTGATTGACACTGTGTACTTTTTACCAACTCCAATGACACGGTTGTTTCTCGGATCTCCCATATATAACGTGCAACGAAGAAAACATTCTACGCACGAGTCATTTTCGGGGAATAGTGGACTCATTTGATTGAGATCTTAAGAGAATTTCTAGTGCCTATCCACTCAAGACTGAACCGCTGGTACTTCAAATTTCAGCCCGTGTATGTGTAATACGGGTACCCGTCAAGAGGCCCGTCGTGCAACGAGAAGGCAGAGACGCAGACGGTGAACGGACGAGTCGCAGCGCGTGCTGTGTGATGTGGGACGTACTATAGTACATTCTATTTAACTTGACGCGAAATCACTGCAGTACGCGCTGCGACTCGTCCGCTGACCCGTCTGCGTCTCTGCCTTCTCGCCGCGTAACGAGCCTCCTGTCGGGTACCCATGTGATACAATTTGCAGCAAACTGTAAGGCAAGTCGGGTAGTCATTATGAAGGGGAGATTGAACCTCACTCCAGAACCTGACCAGAACACTCCACAACCTGACCAGAAAGGTATAAGGATTGGCAGCGCCGAGCGGGTTTTGACAGCGTACGTAGTAAGGCCTTTCCCACCTCTAACACATTTTTCCTTTTTTTCTCTTTCTGAAGCAAATGTGTTATTATATCTCGAAAAACTCATCCACCTTAGACCTACGACATCAACTTCGTCGTAAAAAATTTGAAGCTTCTTCTTTTCGACCTTGCGAGCAGTTACAGTTGCATAGATTACTGTCATTGGTTTAGCAAAGACCTGAAAATGCACATGGCAAGACTTTTACGCGTTATATGTTTTTTCTCAGATTCAGGACCCCCCCCCCCAACAGAGCTGTAATTACCTCAATTTTGCACACAGTTCCTGGCGGTATTTTTATTGGTGACGTTGTATTGAACAGATACACTGTTTCACCACCTCCAATTTCCATTGTCATATTACCATTGCGACAAGCTTCTATAAACAATGAACTCGCCTACCACCTTGACGATCATCATCATCTTTATGACAAATTGAGGGACAGCGTGAGTCAGATGTGAATCACACCTTGCACACACATGGCTTTTTTGATTTTTGCTCTTTCAACAAATCATGCCTGACTTTTACTCAATACAGTATACTAGCTGTGTCTGTAGATGTGTGTGCCCATCTGTTTGGCCAGGAATTCATATCGCGCGTCGCGAAAACGGTGGAGCGTTGGCTTTGACATTTAGCTAGAGGCATGCTCGATCAAACTGATCTGGTCTTTAACACGAATACGGAAGTCTTGGTGTGAAATGGGCCAGCAAAAAAGACAAAAGAAAAAGAATCTGCCAAAGAGACTAGATTAACATATTGCTGCCTGCGTGCATCACCGGGTATGCACATCTGTATTCTGTTCCACAACGAACCTTTTCAGTAATTCATTGAATATTTGACTTTTGTTATTCTCTTAAATCCGTAAAACATGTGGCATGTCAGCACAACCCCTCTGTGTTTACCACTCCCATCCCTCTATTCCGTGGCACCAGATGCAGGGTCAACCGTCACAATGGACAAACTTCAGAAATTTACGATCGCACCTTTGAAGGCCTCGACACCCTCCCCCCAAGCCGTTAACATTGTATGTATTGATTCTGGAACCATTACACACGCCCCAACTCCACCCACATTCCTCCAAAATAGCCGTCGATGGGAGGGGCGAGGGTATGTATCAACTGTAGCACGGCAAATTTTTTTCCTTAGCACTCACAAAGCGTAAAGAGTCACACAACGCTTCCCTTCTCCTGACGATGCCTTCGACATTTGCGAATACGAACCCTTGCTTTTCGTCGGAAGAATACGACACCCCGTCCCCCCCCCACCGTTGGACTTTAATACAACGGACGGTTCACCCTGGTTATTTCTTCTCCATTGATTATTTGACAGCGACCTTTTCTCATTTAACTGCCAATTCCTAACCATTACCCTCATCGCGGCGCCTCATGTCTATAGAGAAGGGGGGGGGGACATGCAGGATGGGGACAATCACTTTGGCTAGGATAACCCGCGGGAAGCAATCGTTTCCCATTTCATTCTCAATTCACAAGCCTTGCATTTTTGTGTCGGTTGCATGATTGCAAGTGGTTTGTCAGTATGCTCTCCTGTGAAATTCCCCTATCATATCAAAGCAAAAAAGGATAAAGCAAGCGCAGTTAATCAATCTCTTTTTGGAATCGGCATGCATTCTGCTTCCACTACGTTTACCGACTTAATGCGAAGTTGCCTACCCCCGACACATAACTGCGAGCCAGCCCATGATACAACTTAAGTGTTTTTATCCCCCCAGACAAGCCCTGTACCCAGTTAAACGCGACCGAAGGTATGAATGTTTGATTGGCCCAAACCACGTACGCCAAGGATCAGAACCCCACCTCCGCCGCAGGAGATATGTACGTGATACGAACTGGAACACGCCCCCCCCCCACGCGCCCGCCCCAAACACCGGGTCTATATCCGCTACTAAACGAAATAAAGCGCTCATTCCCTAGGGGGGTGACATCTCCCACCATCAGGCGATGAACATGACACTAGACTCCCCCCCCGATAAGCCGAGCTTGCGGTGCATATCCTCCCAAAATCCTTCTTTCCCTAAGGCTTGTTCCGAGCACAGTACTGGCTCACACACCCCTTAACCATGCCCAACCCCCTCTACCCTCTCCCCGCCCCCCCTCAACGCCATCAAAAAGAAATGAATCACTCATCTACCGAAAAACAATAGCTGAGAATAACAGTGCTCAACCCCCCCCCCCATCCCGCGCTGCCTACATTGTACACCCGAACCTCAAAAAAGCACAATGAAGCTCGCAACTTCTGAAACCATAATTGGAAGATTGCCAGCAACCTGCTCTCTAACTGGCCTACGAGATTTGGCACACAACCCCAACGTTGCGAGCAAATTTCTTCATTCTACAGATCTGACGCCTACCCCAAAAATGCTCGGAAACAAGCGCCCCACGCGCTCCCCGTCACTAGTTCGCGACTCCCCCCCGGACATAGGGTAGATAGTACCGACAATACTGACGCGAGAAGATATATAGATGGTAGTATACCCCCGCGAGCACGAGAATTGCGCTGACAAGATTAGATACGTATCGATTGAAATCGCTGGAGAGTAGTAGATTGCGATATTACGATAGTAGGATAGTAGTAGAGTAGGAGATTAGGATAGTAGTAGATTAGGATAGTGCGCTGACAAGATTAGATATGTATTGATCTATTCGCTTGAAGTCGCCCAATCTACTACTCTCCAGCGATTTCAATCGATACGTATCCAATCTTGTCAGCCTACTCTACTACTATCCTAATATCCTGTCGCCTATATCCTAATCTCCCGAGTCGCGAACTATGAACGCGGCCAAAGGCTTTACCTATAAACGATATTCAAGTAAACCAGTAGCCAAAAGTTGGCGAGCCTGCTCTTTCTCAGAAATAAAGCTCAATCTATAGGACGAAACGTCTAGCGACCTCCTTCATGGTAACACTTTGTAGAACCAACCGCAATAATGCCATTGGGATATCGACGATCAGCTGTGCGACTGAATACGCAAATGAAACTTACTCTGATATAGCTCATTTGTTAAAATGCACACTTGAAATGCATGTAAATCAAGTGTTATTGTCGATGCGAGTACCATCTCATGATAAGCTTCTTGATATCACTTTTGTTCAAGCTCTAACGCTGGGCTTTATCTCCTTAAAAGCGAGAGATTGCGATAGGATTCTGTTGTGCTCATAGTGGAAGTGAAGATGCTGAATAATGCCCTAGTAGCGAAAAAAGCAAAGAAATCCGTCAAAAACGCGCAAAATGGGACCACTTCCTCTGCCCGTTGACCTCCGATAATGGACGAGTTGGCAACCAACTAAGAGGTCGTCGGCACTCGTTAAACCATAGCTGCCATCATACCACCAGAGATCATACCTTGATTGATATAGCATTCCATGAGAAAAAAATTGGATACGCGCTCGAAGTGGCATACCTTATCAGAATGATAATCGAACAGCGATCTGCTGAGGGGCGGAGCACAGGCGGAGGCGGAGCTCAGAAAGGATTGGCAGCCCCAGGGCGCTGCAACGAGCGCACCTTTAGTCACAAAAAGGCCACATCTCGATTCCTTTGGGCTCTAGCTACTGCTTGAAGTGCTGCTCGTTCTTCCATGCTGCACAGAAATTTTATCGTAATTTCTCGCTTTAAGGAGTGCAGTCAGAGATATCGGCCGGGAAAATTAAGGGAGCGCAGATACGGGGACATTACGGTGGCAGTACATTAAAAACATCGTAAAACAGGCTTTTCGTCGGTGAAAACGTGACTAATGGTAAGCCTTCGGGCAAACTGAGGTGGTGACCCATTTTCATTCTCTCTCAAGGCACTGCCATCGCTATGTGGTTCTCGTCCTAAAAGGATCGCCTCCTATACTACGGCCGTCGCAAGGCGAGTTTTCAAGAGTTCGCATTTGATGGATACCGTAATGACTCCGCAATATTGCGGACAGATAACACGGCAGAGTTTCGGTGTTCACAAAGCGCAAGCGTCCAGCTTCATTCTCCTTTGAGAACATTTTTTTAGCCTTCGATGATTTGTTTACCTGTTCGTTAATTTGTTTAACTCCCCCAATAGCAAGAACCTCACAGGGATAGCAATCCCGCCCCGATAATGCCACTACCTAGCTCCTTATCGCCTCTCAGGTCCGAAGACCGCCTAAGCTCTGTGTTCTTGTAAGCAGTCGATTCGTGAGAAACCATCGTATAACTTCGTATATATCAAATCCCGATGTCAAATTGTCTTGCCAACAATCCATTAAAAATGATATTTATTATCAAGTAAACGGAACATATTATCACACTTAAAATCACAGCTTGTAGGTACAAATAGATATTATAAAACTTTCAATGGTAAGAGCTTGTCCTAGCACGATTCGACTGTTCTTCAGTTCTGCACGCGGACCGCGCTCAGACGCTCGCGGCTGTCATTACGGCTATCGTGTTCACGAGAACGCGGAATAGTGACGTTCCTCCCGAGGAGGATATTGCTCACTACTTCCCTTGAATTGTCCCTTGAGTTGGGAGATCTCGCATAACGTGCTGAAATAGAGTAAAATCAGTCGAGCCCTTAGGACTTCGAAGAAATCAGGTTTCGTCCCTATACAAGTAGGGTGGGCAGGCTCAGCTTTTTCACGCATGTCAAGGGACTTCGCTCACCCTTCACCTCCTATTCAACTTACTCCTTCTGGCTCACGAATTCCCCGATTCTCGCGACAGTATTGTAGCGGGCCAGTCCCACTTGAATACATCTCCGTTCAAAAATGTGGCGTGCCCACCCTACTCATGTAGCACCCAGGTCTCATAAACAGCTTTTCCTTACAGAAGCCAAGGACCAACTTACATTTTGTGGCGATGACGACAACTTTATGAGCTCTGTTGAAGGCCGGGAAGGCAAGCGGGTGTCCACGCCACCTGACCGACTGCTCAGACTTCTCCTCTTCACCGCCACCGCTTTCTTCGCCGGTACTCTCGCCGCCGCTACCTTCGGCACTTCCTTCCATAGTGCTGTTCGAACTGCCTTCCATACCGCTGTCAATACCTTCCTCACTGCTTGCCTCCTCCTCAAGCAAACATTATAGAGGCGCTAGTAGCGTCATGCTAAACCCTGCCCTACCGGCTCAGTTCCGTTGATGATATTCTGAAGCTGCTCCATCTCGACCAGGAATCGGCATTCTTCCGGCATCTGACGAGCAACGAGTCCTTTGGCACGTGGCCCAAGCTCCTCGAGAATAGTTGCAGCTTTGATGAACGGCCTCAAAACGGCTTCCTAAATGAGAAATTCGATACTTGCACCTGACTAATTCTACAGTAACCAACTTACCATCACGATCGTTCCAGCAGGTTCACCACACTCCTCATTGAGCCCTCTAGCCACACAGCTGGTCATGCAACCCGTGGCCGTACAGACTGGACCTAGTTGCTGAAATTACATCGATTACCCATGGTCGTGGGGTCAAGGGACCCAGTAAACCCACCTCAAACATCATGTCGCGAGATCTGTGAACCCTGGTGATGCGACGCAAGAATTCCACGGCTGAGAGCTTGGTTATCGATTCCGAGAACGTGCAATTGTCGTCGCAGTCCTGCACGATCAACTCGGTCGAGTTAGCAAGGCAGTCGCTGAACTGTTCCATCTCGTCCTCCTGTTCGCTGCACAACGTCTCAAGGCCACCGAATATCGTGTCGAACAGAACACCTCCAACGCAATCCTCTTGCTCGTCCACACACAGAGCAGCTTCGTTGTAAGTCCTGAACGACAGCACTACTTCTCAGTACTGATCTATGCCCTGAAGAACTCACCTGCACAGCTCACTGAAGCTTTCTGTCGTATTTTCCATACTGAGCAGATCAGCAGTCACAACGAACAGGTCCGAAAGGCATGTGTGAGCACAGGGAGGCAGCCCGGAAAACTGGTGACTGATTACGGCCACTTTGACGGAATCGTAACCTGGAAGGTGCTTGTGAGTTGGACCACGTATGGATCGGAACACAAGAAGAAATTCAAGACTTACAAAGACATCCTCCGATCAAAGCGAGCAGAACGAAGCTGGACAGCCTCATCTTGAGCTGGACGTGACTAGTTGTTGTTAAAAAACGTTAAATGACACCTATATTAAAAATGAAGTGCTCTTTGAAGGGTTCTGTCACCCTTATATACCGGCCCCATTAGGCGCTCCCGCTGGATCATCATCGACTGATCACTTCTTATAGATCACATACATCGATTCTAATATATTTTCCTTGTTTTCTTTTTTTCCAGTTTGTTTCGGGTTCTTTTCGTTCCTTTACTGAAAACTGCTAATCATTTATATCCAGCAGGTTTATCATTTGATCATTCAATGGATTTTTTGAATAAAATCGTTTAGACGTTTCTTTGCGTTGTGGCTCCTTTCTCCGGACTTCCTTTCATGAACATCGAGCGCTTTTTTTTCACAGAAGGGTTTGAATGGTTTCTATATGGTAATTTGAACGAGTATATATAATTCTCTATTCACTTAAAGATCCGATCCGAATCGAAATCGTTTTCCAGACGAGATGTCCTCAAAAAATCGATTACAGACTCTTCGATCAATACCTATCCATCACTTTATGATCACTTGCTAGAAGCAGTTGTTGGACTAGAGCTATACTTGTGCTGTAATTCATATATAATGAGTGATTATAAACAAAGAGGTCAGAAGATTCGAAAGCAGCGCCATGGAAGGCCCCCCTCTGCTTCTCCTCGTATAGTCTCTGCTTCTCCTTGCTCTAACATGTCCGACCTTTATCTGCGATCACTATAAAAGCCCCTTTTTAGTTATTATAAATTTCATTAAATGTCATTATTTGCTTTCATCAAGTTTTATTCTACTTGATAAATGACTGCGCAATAACTCAATGAGTACGAGGCTCTCTTTATTATTTCGAATGAGAAGGATATCAGAAGACTTCAGGCCGATTTCTCTCATTCTCTCTTAAAGCAGAAATCCGTGAATTCAACTGGCGGTGTCAGATAAACGATTGATCTTGCTCTGAAGTCAAATTGGTTTTGGCGGGAGAATATTCGGTCCCAGCGACTTGTACCCTCGGATTGATAACCCTAAAGTCTTTCCCTAGTCGTGTTTGATAGCTCAACGCACCTCCAGCTTTCGCGCCGTATCGGCCATCATAGCACGATTGTCTCTATTATCTTTGGCTCTTTTCCTTTCTTTTTGATTATTTGGTTGAACTAAACACTCGTAGAATAGTCACTGAAAAGGTGTTCGGTAAAAAACTTTGGGATTCATAACTAATTAGGGTGCAATACTAGTGTGGAGGGGCATGCCTATTTTCGATATTGCTTACTCGTTTGCTTGCTTATTTTTCCTCAGTCGGACACCTTCCCCTTAGGGAAGAGCTATATTATTCAGCAACGATATTTTCTAACACAGTTTTTTTCTGCTTGAAGGCGGCATACTTATCCTCCCACATGCGACTAGTATTACGTCTTGAATGGTCCCACAATAATAGTCGTGGGGAGAATCGACCCAGGCTTTTTGTTTCATTGAAATTACCCTAAAATCCCATAGATAAGAGCGGTCCATAGATATTTTTTCAAAAATAAAATAAAAATAAAAATATTTTTTCAAAATCATTTTTTACCGGTAAATTAAACCGCTCTTATCTATGGAATTTTACTGATCGAATGGGCTCTTCAAGTTCTATCCAGAGATCAAATTCCGGCAGAAATTCCGTTAAAATCGCTATTTTTCTATATGAATTGTTTATTAAGTGGGCGGGGTTTAGAGTTGAGGGACGGAGCTTCTTCTAAACTTCTTCTCCGATTTTTATTTATCCATCCATCAAGTTAGAGGGGTGACTGCATTCAATTTCAATTTCATTCCAATTCATTTTTCACCGGTAAATTAAACCGCTCTTATCTATGGGATTTTAGGGTCGTAATCCAACTTATTCCCTCTCTATTCAGTATCGAGCAACTCCGCCCTACGATGACTTCATCCTACGCAGGTGTGACACTATTGCGTAGGAGTACTTTGCGACGGCTTCCTTCAACAGCTTGAGGCCCAAATTGATTAGGGGGTTGGAGGCGGAATCGTGGCGCAGAGCACCTGAGACATTTGAACGGCACACAGCGTTCGAATGACTTACTACTTTGTTACTTCGTACTACAATACTTACTTGTGCACTCTAGCAAAAAGTAGAATGACTTACCAATCTAGAGCTTGTCTTCACACTGAAGCAAATGGGATTAGGGACGCCGGTACAAACTATTGCGCCGTGATGCTTCCCCCCCCCCCCACTTAATCCAAGCCACATTTGTGCCTCGCATGAGCTACCCCCCTTTTCTTTTTTTTCGATTATTTTTATAAATAACACAATGTTATATTCTTACTCTCATTAGTGGGGCAGCGTTCAGCAGTCAGAGATATAGCTGCTTTGAATTCCAGAAGCCGACGAGTTCGAGCTACCAGTGGTTCTTGACGCTACGGGCGTGCCAGAATGTATCCAGACATGCCTCTCCGACCTCTTCTACAGCGTCGCTGAACTTATTCATCTACAGAATCCCTGTGGCAAATTCCAGGATTGTGCAAGTGAGTACCGTACCGTTACAATGATGCGAGAGAAACCTATGTTTCGCCATGATCTGCGCAGAGCTCGGGCTTTAGCTAAGCAGTCCCGTCCATTGGGTATTTCAGCAGTCCACCGGCTTGGACGACCGCAAACTAAAAGATGGCGGCTGCAAAATTCTTCAATGACGCACATCCTATCCAATTAATCAATTCAGTCCGCGGGCGCCGAAATTGCTCGCGTTATCTTGATAAACGCTTCATTGCAACGTACATGTAATTTGCAGGATTACAGAAGCTTTTATAGTCCGTTGAAAATCAAGGGATGCTTGCGTGCAAACAACTCTATTTGAAATAGCCCTGAGTGGTCTCGACGAGCTGTGCAATGAAAGGGAAGAAGGTGATAGTCTCATTTGATCATATGGGAACTTTTTTATGCTTAAGGGAGCGGATCGCCTTCTTTACTGGTCTGGTTTGTTTGGTTCCGAAAATTATACAAAAGTAAACAGAGGAATATGTTAGACAAGAAATGAAGAACGGAAACGCGAAAAGGACTAAAAAAACTGAAATCTTGTCAAGTCGACCGTGGTACGGCGTAGAGACACAGCACGCCGGGAGGGGAAACGCGAGGGAGTAATCGTACGTTAGAGGGCGCAGACTCTCACGGTATGTTATGATTGAAAAGAATGGCAGTGGTCGAGTGTCAAACAAAACAATGGTATTGTCAATTCAAGTTGCAGCAGTACCATACTTCCCCTGTGCTTGAGAGTTTTTCTGTCCCTCAAGAGGAATTGCTCTATGGACGTTAGTTCGCGACACGTGGCCTTGTTTTTTAATTATCACGGGTTGCATGACTAGCTGGCCACCTATCAACGATGAGCCAATTATTTACGACTGCTGTCAGTTTCTAACGTGCGATTCGGATCTTATCCCAAGGAATGCTCGAAAAAGCAGACTGAGCTGGATTTGCAGGAATGTGACAGCTATTAACTATACAGTTGTGCTGCACGAATTTGGGTGGAGAGAGGAAATCCTAACGGATTCAGAACTGGAAAGGACCGCGACGCATTGCGAAGGTGAGGCGGTTCACAGCAGGATAGATTTCGAGAGATTTGCGCACTGCTCCTGAAAGAACGTGAATATGAGCATTTTGGGGAGGAGTGTTGTAGGAAGAATCTGGTTAAATGCGCCAATAACATTTACAACGATTTGGCAACTTGTGTCACTTATTCTGATTGATAACTCTTCACGGATCGCTGATTCTCCTGAAAATTGAGCTGTGATCGTCACCTATTCGAACAACCTGAAGCTGTCGCTATTTTAGGAACTCTCAAGTGTCTGCACAGCGTTCGGATGCATGTCATCGTGTGTGGCTCACGATCTCAACGTTCAGTGCCCTCCAGTTGGCACCATTATTACGGTCCGTTGTACTTTCACGGTGCTGTTCTCTGACTGATGGTAATAATCAGACATGAAAACTTTGAACCTCCTTCCACTGCGGACGCGTTTTCGATCACTGAGCTGATTTGGTTGTTGATACTCTTATTCTCAAGCTACGCCAACGCAGCGCCATCATTTTTTGCACGTCCGCCTCTTTTGCAAGATTTTCGTCTTACTCACTTGACTTGAGGCTATGCCAAGATGCAGGGGTGGGGACATATTTGGCAGAGTACCCCAGGCAGCTGTAACCGAGCTTACATTTCTTTTAATTGTAAAAAAGTATCCCTTAGGTCTCTCCTGTACTCCTGCAAGCAAAGTAATTGATTCGGCTAACCTGAAGGTCACTCCGGAGGCTACTCTCGCACCGAACTATGTCCCCGCTCCATTTCTCACCGTCAGTATGGCTAGCCGAGTTAAGAAAAAACCTTTATAAACAAAACAATTAAAATTTACGCTTTTTCGCTCTTTCTGGCTCCACGCTCAGCTGCTAACAAATAGTAAAAGGGATTTACGTTGTCCAGCCAATATACGGCTGTTTCTCAATTTTCTTCAGTTTTCCAATTTTTACCGTGTAGAATGTTGAAAAATCAAAAATCATCACCGTCAGGGTGGCTAGGAACTCGACATTATTTGTACGTTTAAATAATCACCGTCAGGGTGGCTAGGAAATCGTCGATTATTTAGTCGTTTAATTAGATTACTCAAGTAATCATAATTTCAGAAAGCGCTCCTGAAGCCTTTCCTGACGGCTGCGATCATTTTCGAAGAAATTGGTCCACGTGCGAAGATTTCTATTTATCGCCAAATCCCACCCCAGTGCTATTACTTGACCAATCTCAAGGACGTTCAAGGGATTGCTGAAGGCAGACCACCTACCAAGGTAAGTTTTGCGCTCTTGTTTAGAAGTTCCCGGAAACAGTGGTCTTTTCAGTCTTCAGAGAAAAATCCGGAAGAAGCCATCAGGAACGAGATTAAACTAAAGGAGCAGCAGCGAAAACAGAAGAAAGCCGAACTCGAGCGCCTATTTATGATGGATGCTAAGCAAGGTACGACGTAGGAGCTGTGCCTCAACTCGGGGTCGCATTATGAGCTCGTGATTGAGGCGATTCCGGCAGTCTGGCACTGTCATTTGCTAGTCAATACATACCTAAGGCCGATGTCAGACTTTGCGAATCGCGCGATTCGCTAGCGTCTGCGGTCGCGTCGCGGCCAGTGAATCACTCAATTGGCTGGTACCGCAACGCGACCGCGGACGCTCGCGCGATTCGCAAAGTCTGACATCGGCCTAAAAGTAGCCATGAACTAAAACTTTCTGAACCGCTTGTAGCGTAGATGTCATAGGGCCACTCAAATTGGTAGATTTTAATTTGCGATGAGGCAGGCGCTATTCAGCCCTAGCGAGGCAGCGCAACCGCCCGCACCACTGCTCGCACAACCAGATGGTCTTGTTCAAAGATTTTTTTTGCTCTGAATCAATTTCGGAGCGTGCCCGAGTAAAATTCCATGACATGCTGAGAAATATTGAATTCCTTCTTTTTTCAGGAATCTAGAAGCACATTGAACTCCTCGACTCTATTCTCGGCTATAGACTGCTTTTTACTTTATAACAATTTCGCACCCTCTATCTAATTAGTTTTAATAATGTCTGTGACTTTTACCGTGCATGTATAATCTCAAGTTTTACGCTGAATTTCAATATAACACCTTTTCACTATTGATTACTTGAAAAACAACTAATGGTAAGCTCATATCTTCTCTGTGATAATGATATTGTGTAATGTCCTGATAATGATATTGTGTAATATATCAAATTTTAGATGACAATAAATCATAATTAACCACTTTCCGCTGGTTTACTGTAGAGAATGCTTGCCTGACGAATGCAGTACAGCTGCATTATTTGGGAATGAGTGCATGTGTGCACGTTATCAAGTAATCCTCCGCGCTCGCGATGGATTTGAAGCCAAGCAGCATGATACCACGCGACATGTTGTTAGCGCGATGTTTATACTTCGCAGCGGCTACAGCCATTTGAGATAGGTTGGATCTGCAAAAATGGATAGCATAGAGCAGAATATGCGGACGCCAGGAGTACCACCTTTCGAGTAAGCTTACCGACCTCTACTCGTTCTCACGAGGACCAATCATGGCACCTTCTTGACGCCGTTCCAGAACCCCTAGAACCTTTCGAGAGAGTCCCATTCCTAACGGTAGACACTGAATTGCCTGCTTTTTTAAACACTCTCAAAAGATGTTTCACAAGAATGCTGGGTTGTG